GTCAGCTACGAAACAGCTGGCCTGCAAAATTCTGATTAAAAGAAACAATAGTTGTTCTCTTAGAACCCCCACGAGGTTGAAACTTCGTCGAATAGTCTGACTTTATGTAACAGCGGCCGCTAAAACTGAGTGTCGATTGTATCCCTAGACACTCTCACGGAACAGCGTGATGATAATACACCATCCTTAGCACGCAACGTTGCGGGCGAATAAAAGAAGCATAGATGGAACGGGGCAATCTTTTGTACTATATCTTTTTATATTTGGTACAACTATGTCAATTACAATACTGACGGAATTCACATGACACTTGGTTTAATTGTACTTTTTACAAGTACCGAAATGTCGGTATTGGTGAAGATTACGGGACTGTGTACAACCCGTGGGGGTTCTAAAAGAACAACTATTGTTTCTTTTAATCAGAATTTTGCAGGCCAGCTGTTTCGTAGCTGACTTTATTTATTCTAATAATATCATATAAAATCAGACCGCTGAATCCGGATTGAATTCTATAGTACACGACAGTGGCGTGCATGCAGCTTTACGCTTCTAACTTTGCAAGATGCAACCTTTGTCAGTCAGAAAGCCTGCGCCGTTCCCCACTACTAGAACTTTTAGCAGATAAGGATTCCGATGTTTATCTCTTACAGATGCGCCAACATAAACCTTATGAGTAGCCACAGCCGCTGGACAGCCTACCATAGTCATGTCTCTCCGAGTCGTCGTGTGAACAGTTGCGGCTTTGGCAGTAAAACTTTTTCCGAGATGGACGCAATCCAGAGGGTAGCCTTAAACAACTACTCTTTTGTCCCAGTAGAGTATGCTTTAAAACCTGACGTATCCAACGAAACTTGGAGCAGTGAGCATGACGAAGCGAACGAAAAGAAAGCTCAAGGGATCTACGACTCGCTCATGCGGACAGACAATGAGAAAACTGATCAAGCGCGCCAAGATGAAGCTGGCCTGGGTATTGGCGAACGATTCGGGAACTCGAATTAGTGAAATGAACGAGATGAAATTCGTTAACAGCATCACAGTCAAATATTGTTTCTCAACGCTTTTATTTTATCCGTCAACTATTTTTGTTTAGTTGTCACCATTTAACTTGTAAAGTCCTCTGTAAACAGCATTACTTTACCCTATCCACATCACTTAAAGTGCATTTGCATCCACCAGCAATTTCACAAACGGTTGACCTAAATCCAGGCTAGTAATGCAAAAGCTCGGTCATGAAGCGCATCAATTAAAATAGCAGTTACTCGATCGTTACGGTAGTTGGAAACATTGAATCAAATGAATTTAAACTGTAACGTTTCGTGCTGAGAGTGCTAGAAGTCGTCAACATTTCGTACCATAGATGAAGGGAGCAATTTATAGTAGAGTCGCGAAATTGCCTCTGCGCATCTAAGAGGACAGTCGACAAGGTAATTGACAGCGTTTCGGCTATTGTCTAATGCAAAGTCAAATGTTAACGACACCGCTACTTTATCCTGGAAAAAAGTGTGTGTTATAATGCTGCAAGAATGTGACTCTGGAATACGAGTTAATTGGCAAGCACGACAGGAGAGAAGTGCGCATTTAGCTCGTAGGTACAACAAGCCAAAAACGAAAATAATAAGAATAAGGATCTTTGTGGTGCTTAAATTTGAGATATAACTTTGGGCAGATTTTTGCATATCAACATGAGAATGCCAGATATTCCACTGGATCAATTCTATAAAGTCCAAGAAAAATGGAACGGAAGTTGACTCCGTGTGGTCATAGTTTCGTGAGAATACCGGAAATGATAAAACTGTTGGTTTGTTGGTAAAATATATTTGGGTCCTCGGTGTGCTACATCTAAGCCTATCCGTCTAGAAGTTCAACAAGCAACCTTATTCATCTAGCTAGACCAATGAACGACTACCATTATGTCCATAATCAATCATGATAATAATTGTAAACATTACCGTATTCCTTGTGACGTCACGCACATTCAGCGGTGTATCATACGATTGTGAAGGATGTACTGAAACCTGTTTTCATTTTAGTATCAGGATGAGTTTCAGAAAGAATGACCCAGAATCGGGGTGTTCGCTCCATGTTACGATTTTTGGTAGTTCTTCCAACTCACTTTTAATATCGACTTAAAAATTCCGTCAACTCTTAGAGGTTACGAGCTGAGCGCGATCGTGACAAACAACAATAAAATTTTCACCGACGAGAACTTCTACGTGTGGAGTATTTCGTGTGTAAGTCGCTCGCCACGAATTGCTCAGCCATCATAAGACAAGATGGCACAGACGACTACAGATCGGATCTTAAGGCAGTGGTATTTAAGTCGGAGGAAAATCGCTTATCTCAAAGCGGTGGCTATCATCGAAAAGATGTTGTTCTCGACCTAGTCGTCCTTGACTGCTGATTCAATGAGGATCCTGCGCGATTCCTCGAGGAGAGAAGCCTGCACAACCGTGTGCAGATTAGAAAGCAGCTCGACGAGTTTCAGTTGCCACCGGCAGAAACATCATGGAGCACCTACTTAAGTTTGACGACCATTGAACGCGTCCTTTTTGTGCAAAGCGAGATCACAGAAAACAGGCGTACGATTCTCCTTTTGGGAAGGCTTTTGCTTATGATGCGAGTCTGAAGAATATTGATAACATAGATCTCTGAAAGGTCAAGGAGGCCCAAAGTCGTGAGAACGATATGATTCAGAAGCGTGAGAAACAAAAAGTATTTTCAGCCAGTGCTGCCTGATCCAAGTTCCACAGCTGCCACGATAGATCTCACCGTCGGCGTTTCCGTACGAAGAGCCACTCGCGGCAGCACCCGAAGCGAAGTCGGCGCCTCAACGGTAATCAAAAGTCGTCAAGGCCGCGCTGGTGGTGGATATCAAGTCGGTACTTCGAGTGCGACGAGGTCGGGCACAAGCCCAAACAATGTATTAGAAAGTGAGGGTCATCAGGGTTGGTTTGTGTCTGCCGGTGATGTCCAACAGTGGGGTTTGGTTCCAAATTCGAATATATTAACTGCAATTTCTCGACAATCGAATCTGGCTTTACTTTACGGCGATATGACTTTTTTATGTGAGGTAATCAGTCCGATCACGCGATGAGACGTCGTGGTGAAATTTCTCGACGGACTATTTCCCGCAGTCACAAACTTCAAATATCTTCGGAAGTTGAAAGTTAAGGCAGTTTTTTAGTTCAAGAACACGGCCAAAAATCCGAGGTGTGCGTGACACAAAGTTGAGTGACTGCACGTCTACCCCGCACCTTTAATGCCAATACTGAGAGCGGCTTACGGTCGAGACTAAAAATTAGAGTGCATACTTCATAAACGCGGTATTCCAGTCCCGCGACCGACAGCACGAACACCGTTTGGATGTTAGACATTCACGAATGGTTTGATAATCTAGAACGGACTTCACGACGGATTACTTCTTGAAGCATCAGGAAATGTCATCGCTTCCGCGTACGTGCAAGGAATCTATAGAACGAAGAGCAAGCCATTAGTTAGATGAAGGCGCAAAGGATCGGATTCCTATGAATCCGAATAAATGTCACGAGCAGGAAAGATGACCGTTGCTGGCGCGTTTCGAGAAATACAGTCTTCTACCACCGAAGGGAGGGCAGGTAAGCTACCGACCGACGGCGATAGCAATCAGGATTCTGCACAAGATGGCGCGAGCTGCCCACCGAGCACGCTCGATGCCATTATATGAATAGGTGCAGCGGGGCGCGGTTCGCGATGTGACATTAGTCGGATCACACGGACGTGGGACACCATCATTGGGCCTGGATGGATGACTGAGCATTCAAGAAAGAGGTGTGGTGTGAACATTGTTTTCAATGCATGGTCAAGGATAACTTCGGTACCGATGGTGCGTTCATTAATCTCCATGTCCTCAGCAGTCTTGACACGCTGTGAGATCATTTGATGGCAGTCAGCTGACCTAACAGCTAAACCATTCACAGATGGAGATCGTGTAATGAGGGCAATTGTCCACGACACCTATATCCCCAAGCACGTTACGTTTGCTTATCTCAAGAAAATGCAGCATAAACAATTAGCGATGAACATCTTCCATACCCGCACACACCGAACACATGTGTTATTAAAACATTTTGAGCTTTGAAAGTAGACCTGGTGTTGTGTCGTGAAGTGTGCAGCCGATTGATCGTGCAGGCGGCGGTCCGACGCCCTCAACTATTCTTTTAGCAGCCACTGATGATAAACCATTGTTCATACCATCTCAATGACCGAGCTATTATCTCGCTCAACCTACCCTGTTGCCGCGGTGTACCAAGTTGTGCGCACAAATCGTGGAACCCCTTGCTGTAAATTTCTCAACCACTATTGATTTGTATGCATCGAATACGCCTATGGATATGAGCTTCCCCAAGCGACACTAATTCTCTCAGACTTAGGACCACTTTACTCTCTATATGAAGCAGGTACGCTTTTGCATGGCGCTCCCAATAGTTCGATAATATAAGCAGATTGCAAGCCTCGCTTTTTGATAATAAGAGGAGAGCGTTCTTTTCAAGATTGCAGCGTTGGTTGGTCAATATGGTGCTGAAGTGGGTGTTCGATTTCAAGCGGAAAGCTGAAAAAATTAACGTTCAATACAAGATACGTATTCGGGGGCGACTATCAAGCAACTTATTGTCCGGTCGCGCGTTTTAATTCCGTGCGTACGTTCCTCATCATCTCCTGCAAGAAAATGCATGAAGTGTTCAATCGAGATTGAACATAGTTCCATAATGTCGATCTGTACGACGAGGTCTAAATTTGACCACCAGAAGGCAGCCATGTCACTGAAGAAACGGTGTGCAAGTTGCGCCAATTTCTCTATGGGTTTCATCAAACTGCGGCTGTTGGCACAACAATATACAAAAGTTTGAAGTCCGTCGGCTTTCAGCCATAAGATTATGACACTTGCCTTCTTCGACGACTAAATCTCTCCTTTTGCGCTATGGGCCGATGAACTACTCAGGATCGCGATAAAGCCGTGATCGTCATGTCTGCTCTCTCGGTGCATTTCACTGAGAAATGAATTCTCCACTAGTGCCAGTCGCGATTCGTTTCGCAGCAAAACGAAAAGTTTGGTCAAGTCTCTACAACAATGCCGAAATCCGAACATTTCTGGTCAGACCCTGAGCGATTCCACCAAGGATGAAATCGCTGACTCGAGAAACTATCGTAAAATTATCGAATATTGTGTATCAATCCGCGAGTTGATTCATCTTCTCATAAAATTCACATGAAGGCTGTAATGCGTAAACCACATTACCTGTGCAACTTCAAGATTCACTTTTAGCGCAGCGAATTACCATCCTACATATCCACCGTGTATGGTGACGCTCACTGTGGTAGTGATATCACTACACGTTGATCTGCTACTGTAGTCGTACTGGGTGGTACGCCCGTTATCTGCAAGTCTGAGCGTCAAAGGACAGTGACTCTGTCTAATCGGCCGAAGCCGAGAATATGACTCTTATGGCTCTGGCTCCTGAAGCATAAGCGACATTCTGGATTCGTCATTTTCTTCAGGGGTCATTTTTGAGACGGCATGTGCAATAGTGGCGAAGTGGGCAATCAAATTATTATCGCGATGGTACATCCTGCCGAATACCAGTCGAGTGCCAAACTTATCGACCTATGCTGATACTTTGCCTGGGATGCAGTTAAGGAGAATCAGCTCAAAAATCAGTATGTGTTATCCGATTATTTGATAGCAGACTTCATGAACAAGTCACTTCCGACACTGCAATTTATGAATCTGGTTAAGTCGTGTGGTGTAGTGGATTGAGCTGAGATAAACATTTCTGTGAAATGTCGAGGATGTATTGACATGTACAACATCTCCATTTGTCCTGTGTCCGATTACGTATAGTATCAGGTGCTATATCTTCCACCTTTCAGCATGAGTTTCAGAATGCTCGACCTAGAAACGGAAATGAAAGCAAGAGTTCGAGGCATAACTTCAGGAATATAAGGGGTGCTGCACCTGCAAGCCAAAAGAATGATTGCAAAAAATTTGTTATGGTTAAGATACGGAGGTTAGCTCGCAAAAAATGTTTTTAATGGCGCTGATGAATGACACTGTGGTCGTGGACTACATTATCTGTGGCAATGTCAACTACAGCTTTAGATATGCTGCTGTTTCTGAAGAATGCGAGCACGAGTACAATACGGGCAGTGTATATATCGGATTGTGTTTGTGTGTGTGTTGTTGAAAAAGTAGATCTATACCTAGTAGCGCCAGTACCAAATCTGACTTGGCATAGGAAATTGTGACGATATCTATTTGTAACCGTTGCGATTGTGAATACATTGCACTGGGTACTCCTTCATCATTGGTGATAAACTTTGTTTAGCGCGCAAAATCTACGACACAGAATACTTCACAAAAGGGTTGCGACGACAAGCTATCGATAACAAGTCACGGAAAGCAGTCCCGTCTGCGTATAGAGCATAAAGTGGTTGTCTTTGTTTTGCTGTGCGAAGGGAACGATTAGCTGTTTGACCTGTTAAGTTTAGATCCGGATCTACTCGCCTTATCAAAGATGAATGGTTTAGTTCTTCCTGCACCATGCACGTCCATCGGATGGTATACAGAATTTCGCTGAATGTGATACCTTCTTTCACGCTGAATGTGATACCTTCTTTCACGCTGATGGAGTGCTGCTAATCCATCCATGAGAAGCTAAAGATGGAGTTATATTGTGTGAAGCCTGCTGTATTTTTAAGTGGGCGGCTATTCACGTCGACGACTGGTACCTGCCGTAACTCAGCATTCACTAACAGCTACAATTCTAAAATGCAGGCATAGAACGGCCGTGATGCGATCGAACCATTATCAATTGGATTAAGCGAGGCAAAGACGAATGTGTCGATCGAGAAGCCAAAATTTGTCCCATTAATTACCCTCTAATTGTCGCTGCAGGACGACACCCACCTTTTATTAGTAACCTCGTATTAACGACGTCGCTAATGGATTCTGTTGCAGTTAAGTTTTCGTGATGACAATAATGGCAGTAAGCATGAAAAAATCGAACTTTGGTGGGCGCAAACACGACACGACAATACTTTGCACAACATCACTGTACGGTATCTCTTGCACACGCTGTGGGTTTAGTGCGCGACTTGTAGTGACGACCGATCAAATGACAACTTTACTCGAACATAGGCGTAAGACGCCAGAAAAAATAGGTTGAATTGACATCCTATACGTTCTCGTCATGTGCAGTGGGTTGTTTACAGGCTATAGCCATACAGCAGATCTCATCGCGATTACACCAAACGACAAGCAGATTGTAAACTGGAGTGAAGAGTGGCATGAGGAATCTTTACTATCATGGTGACTTGTACTCGTGAAAAAGTTGCCAGTTGAGAAGTACAGCGTTGGTTACGACTATGCGGTACGTTAGACAAAAAGAATGGCATCTCTTTATCTCTGAATATTCCCAATTTTACTGTCTACGCAGAAACACCACGCTAATGTCCAAAATCTCATTCGTAAAATTTTTCATTTTACGCATAGATTAACATGAAAAATTAGGTTCGATCTGCGAACTGCTTAATGCAGTACGCTGGCAGATTGATTTGCGGCTAACGGCTTGGCATTGTTTACGTGTCAGAGAAGTTAGTCGCATAATGACAATGGGGTCGGCAGCTGTACAACGTTCGTAGGCTTAGAGAACCCAACATAGTTCTGCTTGGGAGCTAATACATCGATCGCTGCGCCTGCCAAAACGTTGAATATTTCAGCGACACATAGAAGCCCTGAACTCTCGGATAACTACTTTGAACCGACTGTAATGACCACACTGGAATTATTCGGTAAATGATTTTTTTTGCCAGTGCCAAGATTAA